CGTAATGGCTTGGCGCTTTCCCTTGATAATTCCTTCCTTCCTTACCCCCCCCCCCCAAAAAAAGCAGATCCCACCGTTTTTTATTTCATCAATTTCATATGTGTTTACTGATTTTTTGTTCAGACTTTCCTGTTCAATTTCCAGGTCACTTTTTCCCGTTGACTGTTCATTTATTCCACTTATTCATAACGTGTTACATACCACTCGTTACATGGGTATTAGATGCTGATCGCCTCGTGGCATGCTTCCATGCCCCTCTCACTTCACCTGCTTAACCATGTACAGAGTTAGCCCTCAACTACTTCCTGTCGTAGCTCATTACACTTGCTTACTACTTCTACAATTAAGTCACGAAGTGGTAAGTCTTACACTTATCTCTTTCATTGTGGCATGGTCTAGGTCCCACTGCCTCTCCACATAGCTCAGTCATCTCTGTTCAGGGACCAGTCTTACAGCGCATTTATGGACTTTCTTCAGCGTTGTCTAGGTCCTATTGGAGTCTTCTGCAAGTCTCCTCAGTCTGATCCCTTTCATCCGGTTTTCATCGATGTAAGACAATAATATACAAGAGCAAAAATCACGCTAAATAAAATTGAAATTGAATTGAAATTGAAATAAGTTTATTGAGGTAAAATACCTAAATAAAATTGAAATATAATACGGGACGTATTACATTTCGTCCATTTTTATTTTTAATTAATTTTTCATTTTAATTAATTATTACACGAAATAGAACATTTCGTGTAATAATTAAGGCAGAGCTAAAATTAACTCATCTCTAAGACATCGATCTGCACGGAACACTAGAAAATGAGAAGTGGTTTATCATCTGGTCTGGTATCAAAACATATTGTTTTAAGACGCAGAAGTCTATGAAAAACATAACTCTTGAGACATATTAACTAATGAAAGTGGAGACAATGAACAGTCAGAAAGAAGGCACTCCAATAGGCAGAAATTTAAGGGTAAATAGAGTGTTATGTGACACGAGAAAGGACAACTGCTGATTTAAGATTATTAAAGATTTGTGAAAAGGAAAGGGGCTGAAAAATTCTTGTTAATAACAAAGGTACTTTCAGAGAGAAGTTTTTCCAGGACAAGTAATGATGATGATGATGTGAAGAGTATCTGCGGGTGATATCCTTTACCACTCATCATGCATAATTACTTATTAAAACACTCCGGAAATACTGAAAGTTTGAAACAATTATCATTGATACCACAATTAAAACAGCTTTTTAAAACTTACTTGATATCCTGGACGTTTCCCAAAATAGTTAAGAGTTATCTGAGCTTTCTTTAATAATTCTGAATGTCAGATTAACTTTCCAACCCGTTCTCGCACTTTCGTATAGTCAATATTGACTTATTAAATACGTGCATATGTGACATACTAAACATACTAGTTTACCTTGAAAAGCTTCATAGAAAACACCGACTTAACCTAAGCTTCTTAGTATGTTAAGATAAGCATTTAATTGCTTCGTAATTACAATTATTACTTAACCTATTATAGGTATAGGTTAAGTTATAATATGTTATTACTTAACCTACTATAGGTATAGGTTAAGTAATAATTGTAATTACGAAGCAATAAGATGCTTATCTTAACATACTAAGAAAGTTAGGTATGGTCGGTTTTTTCTATGAAGCTTTTCAAGGTAAACTAGTATGTTTAGTATGTCACATATGCACGTATTTAATAAGTCAATATTGACTGTAAGAAAGTGCGAGAACGGGTTGGAGTGGGGAGGGATCGGGTATGGGGTGAGGAAGGGGGTATGACGAGGTGAACCTCGGGTATTAGGGTATACGGAGAGGGGTAGAGAGTGACAGCCCCGCTCCTGTGCCAGGTAAGTCCACTACGGGCTCACCATAGCCCGTGCTACTTGGAACTTGTTCCGAGTAGCTGAATCTACAACAACGGGTACGGAGTGAGGGAGGAGGAGTTCGATCCTCCAGCGAGCAAGGAACACCCGGGTATGAATAAAAGTGGCATTATGCATGCCACTTTTAGTATACATGATGAGTGGTAAAGAACCGAGAAAGGATATAACGTAACAACACCAGTGAGGAAACGGAGAAAGGACCCAAGTTGACCCTACATGAGCAACGGGCAACAGGACCTGGGAACGGGATGACGAGGACCCGTGTTGACCCTACGTGAACAACGGGACGTGGAGACAATGAAGAAGCACTAGAGGAGAGAGAGAGGGAGGCGGCCATTAGAGCGATCACTGTGTATGCAGACGGCGCCCTCGTGTTTGACCGCCCAACACAACCTCTGCCGTTTCGTAAATCAAGCTCGAGTGGTGAGTAAAGGTTGATGAGACTTTCCCTTCGCACTGTTTTAAGAAATGTTGACCCACATAAGGAATTCCATTTTAATCGTTGCGGTGTCGCGAAGAAAATAAAAATAGCGAATAAAAAAAATATTCCAAGGCAAAAACAAGTTTTTTTGGGGGAGACTTTTTGCAATTTTATATTAAATGACATTTTTTTTTAGTGTTTGTTTATAAGATCGTTTAGGAGTAAAAAAAATAAAAACAAAAAAATAACAACCAAAAATGCGCCCGCGCAAAGAATAGTAGTTTATGGTCACAGTGGCTACGTTCTTATCTCACAATCGAGAATCCCGGGTTCAATCCCGGGACTGGACAGAAATCTTTTGACACGTTTCTTTACACCTGATGCCTCTATTCACGTAGTAGTAAATAGGAACCCGGGAATTAGTCAACTGTTTGATTTGATTGTTGCTGCCGGAAGCGGCTAGTTTATTGTGCACCTCATACTCATCCTGTGAGCGGTAGCGCAAAAAAGCATTACACAGGGCACAAAAGGTCTTTATCAACTGTTGTGGGGGTTTCATCCCGGGGAGAGTCAGTAGCTTGACATTGGGAGGAGGACTACCTAAAGCATTCCATTTGTTAACTAACCGTGCTAAATACTTTGTCTGTGTCCAGCCCTGTCAATTTTCCTGAGAATTTTGTAGGTAGTTATCATATCTCCCCGCACTCTTCTGTCTTCCAGGGACGTGAGGCTTAGCTCCCGTATCCTTTCCTCGTAACTCATTCCTCTCAGTTCTGGGACTAGTCTGGTGGCATACCTCTGAATCTTCTCTAAATTTGTCTTGTCTTTAACTAGGTATGGCCTCCAGGCTGGAACTGCATACTCCAGGATTGGTCTGTCATACGTGGTATTCAAAGTCCTGAACGATTCCTTACACAAGTTTGTAAAGGCAGTTATGTTAGCCAGTGTGTGTATTCACCTAGTTATATTCAACTAGTTGTGCTTGCGGGGGATGAGCTCTGCTCTTTCAGCCCGGTTCTCAACTGTCAATCAATCCACTGTTACTATTACCTAATTCCCCCCCCCCCCCCCCCACATACGTACACAGGAAGCAGGCCGTAGCAGCTGTCTAACCCCCAGGTACCTATTTACTGCTAGGTAACAGGGGCATCAGGGTGAAGGAAACTCTGCCCATTTGTTTTTCCGCCGGATACCGGGATCGAACCCGGGTTCCTAGGTCCAGGAGTCTAGAGCGCTGTTCAGTCAGCCAGCCAGCCCCTGGATACACAAAGCCCCTGTGTGTGTCATATATATATATATATATATATATATATATATATATATATATATATATATATATATATATATATATATATATGTCGTACCTAGTAGCCAGAACGCAGTTTTTGGCCTACTATGCAAGGCCCGATTTGCCTAATAAGCCAAGTTTTCCTGAATTAATATATTTTCTCTAATTTTTTTCTTATTAAATGATAAAGCTACCCATTTCATTATGTATGCGGTCAATTTTTTTTTATTGGAGTTCAAATTAACGTAGATATATGACCGAACCTAACCAACCCTACCTAACCTAACCTAACCTATCTTTATAGGTTAGGTTAGGTTAGGTAGCCGAAAAATGTAGGTTAGGTTAGGTTAGGTAGGTTAGGTAGTCGAAAAACAATTATTTCATGAAAACTTGGCTTATTAGGCAAATCGGGCCTTGCATAGTAGGATGAGAAGTGCGTTCTGGCTACTAGGTACGACATATATATATATATATATATATATATATATATATATATATATATATATATATATATATATATATATATATATATATACACACAGTATATATATATATATATATGTCGTACCTAGTAGCCAGAACGCACTTCTCAGCCTACTATGCAAGGCCCGATTTGCCTAATAAGCCAAGTTTTCCTGAATTAATATATTTTCTCTGTTTTTTTCTTATGAAATGATAAAGCTACCCATTTCATTATGTATGAGGTCAATTTTTTTATTGGAGTTAAAATTAACGTAGATATATGACCGAACCTAACCAACCCTACCTAACCTAACCTAACCTATCTCTATAGGTTAGGTTAGGTTAGGTAGCTGAAAAAGTTAGGTTAGGTTAGGTAGGTTAGGTAGTCGAAAAAACATTAATTCATGAAAACTTGGCTTATTAGGCAAATTGGGCCTTGCATAGTAGGCTGAGAAGTGCGTTCTGACTACTAGGTACGACATATATATATATATATATATATATATATATATATATATATATATATATATATATATATATATATATATATATATATATGTGTGTGTGTGTGTGTGTGTGTGTGTGTGGTTGTTTGTAGGAACAGTCAAGCCTCGAAGAGGAGGATTATGCAGCAGTCAACAGGAATGAAAATTAAAATGTTATACTTCCCTGACCAGAGAGGACGGGCTCAACCTCCAGCTCCTGGTCTCCAACCTTCGGACAGTCATACCCACTCTTGTTTACAGCTACTGATGACATACACTACTTGTAATGATTCACATCAAAACTAGTATGGATATAATTCATGTCCACAATTTCAATTACAAGTGTGTACAATTATTTATAAAGTTTATGCATCTGAACTGCTCTTATTTATAATATTTCTGGCAAGACGTTTCCAAATTTCCTTCATTGGTTTGAAATGCATTTGGTTAGTCATTTAAGTGGAAGCAGCAGTGGTGGTGGTGGTAGTTTCAGTGGTAGCGTCAGTGGTGGTAGTTTCAGTGGTAGCGCCAGTGGTGGTAGTTTCAGTGGTAGCGCCAGTGGTGGTAGTTTCAGTGGTAGCGCCAGTGGTGGTAGTTTCAGTGGTAGCGCCAGTGGTGGTAGTTTCAGTGGTGGTAGTTTCAGTGGTAGCGCCAGTGGTGGTAGTTTCAGTGGTAGCGCCAGTGGTGGTAGTTTCAGTGGTAGCGCCAGTGGTGGTAGTTTCAGTGGTAGCGCCAGTGGTGGTAGTTTCAGTGGTAGCGTCAGTGGTGGTAGTTTCAGTGGTAGCGCCAGTGGTGGTAGTTTCAGTGGTAGCGCCAGTGGTGGTAGTGTCAGTGGTAGCGCCAGTGGTGGTAGTTTCAGTGGTAGCGTCAGTGGTGGTAGTGTCAGTGGTAGCGTCAGTGGTGGTAGCGTCAGTGGCAGCAGTAAGACATTTCTGGCCTCCATAAACATCACGTGAAGACGCAACAATAAAACATGTTCTCTTCATCAGCCTTCCAGCACCAAGAGCATCATCAACTTCCTCTCGTGCCGTGAGGGATCTCTCTCTCGGCCCCAGCATCCATCACCATCAACTTTCCTCTTCGCTTGTCGCCAGTCTCTCAGAAGATCATCTTGCTTTAATCAAGTCTTGAACCCCCTAGTATGCACCCATCTACGTCATCGCTATTCTATAATCAAACCTAACCCAACCCCAACCTATCCTAACCTAACTGACCCAAAGTTAAGCTAACATTATATAATATAGATATTTGTGCTTCGTTATATGAGGTGCACGATGTTGAAGCCAGTACAGGTTATCTTAGTTATCTTGAGATGATTTCGGGGCTTTTTAGTGTCCCCGCGGCCTGGTCCTCGACCAGGCCTCCACCCCCAGGAAGCAGTCCGTGACAGCTGACTAACACCCAGGTACCTATTTTACTGCTAGGTAACAGGGGCATAGGGTGAAAGAAACTCTGCCCATTGTTTCTCGCTGGCGCCTGGGATCGAACCCAGGACCACAGGATCATAAGTACAGCGTGCTGTCCGCTCGGCCGACCGGCTCAGGTTCTGTAAGATGCGAGATGATCCAGTAGGATCTGGCCTCTGCTTCACGCATATATTTCCCATTGTGCCCAGACGTCCTGGTTTGGTATTACCGGGAAGTCACGCGCATCCTTGCACCCTCCCATTGTGTATATTTAAATCTGAGCGGCAGCGATTAGTCTGGTCCGTAGGCGGGAGCTCCCCCCCACTGGCAGGCTTCTGGAACACGGCGTGAATGCCTACTCCAGTGGGTGAGATATGGGGCTTATTAAACCAAAGAGCAGCGTATTGTTTGGGAACAGGAGCGCTCTCTCTCCTTTCCTTTCTCTTCCCCTTCAAAGTTAACAGAGAAAAATACCTTGGGAAAATAGCGATTAATGATTTGAAGTCGCGCAGGATACTCGCAGAGCCAGTATACGGTCTATTGAAGCAATAAAGATAAATAATTTTTGCCTACATTAGCTGAGTTTTCTAATTTCGGATGAAGATAATCATGCTCTGTATAATTAGCTGATCTGTCCTTTTCTAGAATACATCGTTCTAATCACGTCATTTATGCAAGGGATTAACAGATGAATATGATCACCAGACAAAATTGTGGACTAAATTACATAACACTTCTTTACGACGGAACTTTATTGCTTTGAAAGGCGAGACAATGTGACACTATACATATTATATAATAATAAGTTATATTTGTATAAAGTACATTTGAAACATGAGACAGCGGAGTGTTCGAAGGAGGACAATGTAATTTATATATAAAGCCACCAATAAGCGGGGCGCTTCTGGCATAATCAAACAGCATGACTATCTTCACTCAGGAAAATACTCGTCCAAAGAAGCATTACACGCAACAATGGTTTTACTATTATAGTCAATGATTACTGTCCAGCGAAGCGAAATAATTTGTCTAGAACAGAGTGGTGAACATATACAACAGGTTACAAGAGGTAATTGGGAGTAATACGGTATATAAGTTACAAAATAAATTGGGCCAGCGGTTTTCATCAACTCTGAGCCATAAATTGCTCGTTACACTCTGAGCCTCTCGTTAAGAGCCTCGTTTAGAAGGCAATGGTCTGCTGTTGTTGTTGGATATATATATTTTATAAGCTTTTGCAAATCTTTGTAAACCCCATTACCTAAAAAAGGATTGAGCTCGTTCACGGTCTGCCTAACACCCACTTCCCCACCCAACCAGGCAAGCTGAACTGTTGTTGTTAAAGATTCGCTACCTGGAACAAAAAGTTCCAAGTAGCACGGGCTATGGTGAGCCCGTAGTGGAGTTACACGCTAAACTATTTTGCTAGATTGTTAAATAGTATTTGATACTGTTCCTCGTGAGAGGCGCATGAACTGTATGGAAAAGCACGCTTTGGTAACTGGGAACACACCGAAATTGGCAAGAGAGTACCTAACATAAAACAGCCACAATCAGAGAGGTTTTGAGCGAGAGGAATTGAACAAGTGGGGTCCCACAAGGCTTCATTTGGGACCACTACTCTTCCTGATTTAAGCGAACGACCTACTCGAGGGAGTGAGCTCGCACAGTCAAAGACTGCAGATTAAAGTGCAACTAATGAGGAATGTAACAATATAAGACTGCAGGAAGTCAGGGGAAGGTCATGACAAACTCCAGGAGTGGGCAAACAAATGGATGCTGGAATTCAATTCCAACATGTGCAACGTAATGGAAATGAGAAAGGAAGATGCGAGACCTTCACCATAAAGGGGACGGCAACTGCAGGAATCGGAAAGAGAAATATTTGGGAGTGGATATAATTCCAACACCAGAGGTTATCTTGAGATGATTTCGGGGCTTTTTAGTGTCCCCGCGGCCCGGTCCTCGACCAGGCCTCCATCCTCAGGAAGCAGCCCGTGACAGCTGACTAACACCCAGGTACCTATTTTACTGCTAGGTAACAGGGGCATAGGGTGAAAGAAATTCTGCCCATTGTTTCTCGCCGGCGCCTAGGATCGAACCCAGGACCACAGGATCACAAGACCAGCGTGCTGTCCACTCGGCCGACCGGCTCCCTAAAGGGGAGCCCAGTTTGTGTGCCCAGAGACACACAAACCAGACAACATCTGCAGCATGTAGGGCACTGACAACCATTAGAACAACGTTTAGAAATCTAAATCAGGACTATTTCAAGGCAAGCTACACAATTATTAAAGCAATAGTGTATGTAGCACCCACATGGAATCTGCACTATTGAAGAGTAAAACCAAAATGAACAAAGTAAAGAGGTGTCCATCACGAACAGTGCCAGAGGTGAGATCGTTAGGCTATGAGGATAGGGTAATTAAACTAGCTCTCACAAACCTATATGACAATAAACAGAGGGGATATGGCGACTTTGTTTACATTTATTAAACAGTTTATGAGCTCCGAAGCACAACGAGGTTGTTCTTACCAATAATAACCTTAGAATGTGACTTTCTGAAGCTCAAGACTGTTTAGTAGATGTAAACAAAGCCATTATTATTATTGAAGGATGTACAGCTTTTTTAAGTGGATGCGTAAATATTTGAGGAATCCTGGCCCTGGATTTCTGGTACTTGGGACAAGATTATACCCAGCTTCGCTACCCTTGGGTAAAGTGCGGCTGCCTGCAGGTATAACTCCCTCCACGCCCTTACTAACATCAGTTGCCCGGTCAACCGCCCTGGTGATTCATCTTGTACAAGTCGACAACCCGTGTTGCCTTCAAGGTGAGGTCTGGTACATGCAAACCGATCCATGCTTCCCTCCAGGTAAACCCCACCCCTAGTCTCTCCTTCCCTCCAGGTAAACCAAACCCACCCCTAGTCTCTCCTTCCCTCCAGGTAAACCCCACCCCCAGTCTCTCCTTCCCTCCAGGTAAACCCCACCCCCAGTCTCTCCTTCCCTCCAGGTAAACCCCACCCCCAGTCACTCCTTCCCTCCAGGTAAACCCCACCCCCAGTCACTCCTTCCCTCCAGGTAAACCCCACCCGTCTCTCCTTTCCTCCAGGTAAACCCCAACAAATTCATATTCCCAGTTAGGCGACCTCCATTCTCTCTTCCCTCTAAGTGAACTTAGTCAAACTGATTCAGTGACGGTGATACCACCAATCCGTTCCCCTCTAGGCCCCCCTCCAATCCCTTCCTCTTCCTACTAATCTTAGCTGCCATCTAGAACGGTGATCACAATCTCTCTCCTTCTAGATGACCTTCACTAATCTCAGTGTCCCTCCCCCAGATGACCACTTATCTCTGCTATCATCTAGGAACAGCACGGTATAGGCTAAAACAATGGGGTCATTGCATCCCTCGTCAGTCTGTTCTCTTCATTTGCCACAACGTACAAAATAAGTGGTTCTAAAAGGCACGAACCCAAGCCTCCCACCTAACCAACGGATAGAAAACGCGGATATTTGTGAGTCGCTACTTTTCATATTATCCCTTACTCTGCACATTGGGGAATGAAACGTACCAAATAAGGTGTATTAGTTGAGAGGACGGGTCTCTGTGCTCATAAATATGTACACTACGTGAGTACTATTCTGAGTATTCGTGCAACTCTCACCATTTGTCACTCGATACATAAGTTTATTTTGTGCTAGAAACGGCTTCTTCTAATCGAATTTCATCTTTGGTCGAGGAACCGTTCAACTAGGGTACATAGTTGTACCCTAAACTCCCTTTCATAGGGAGTTTGCACCACCTGCTGACAAACTCTACTAAATGTAAAGTCTTTCAGCACAACTATTCACATACTTTGCGTCATTATATAAATGAATGTAAAAAATCGCGGAATTCATCAATGGTGTTCAAGAAATGTGTACGTACTTTATTCATAATGATGTACTACCAGAAATCCTAGCCAAGAATTCAAAATTTGCTTACTGTAGGTTATGCATGCGCATGACTGTAAAGCTGCCGCCCAGTTGGGTGGGTGTGGAGCACATGACTGTAAAGCTGCCGCCCAGTTGGGTTGGTGTGGAGCACATGACTGTAAAGCAGCCGCCCAGTTGGGTGGGTGTGGAACACATGACTGTAAAGCTGCCGCCCAGTTGGGTGGGTGTGGAACACATGACTGTAAAGCTGCCGCCCAGTTGGGTGGGTGTGGAACACATGACTGTAAAGCAGCCGCCCAGTTGGGTGGGTGTGGAACACATGACTGTAAAGCTGCCGCCCAGTTGGGTGGGTGTGGAACAGGCTTAGCAACTTAGTAACTGACTCACTGACTCACAGCAGATGTAAACTGCGTTGTATAATTCTTGTGGCAACTTCTTGCATACATATGCAACAATAATCACAATAAAACATGTGATTCGAATACGATTAAGTATCCACTAGAAATTATTATATATATATATATATATATATATATATATATATATATATATATATATATATATATATATATATATATATATATATATTGTTGACTATGACCGAAAAGGTAAGATTAATATTTCTAACACGAATTTTTTCAATATGTCTTATGTTTCTCTTCACTGTCGAGGGTAATTGAAATATCAATTCTCCAAAATTCATTTTTATTC